TTTTTAACAGAAAAAAATGAAATGTCAGATGTGCATTCTCTAAGTACTGAATACCTCATACATCAAAGTGTATCCTTCAGTTATGTGAAAATCTTATTTTCCAGGAAATTTTATTTTCTGGGAATGATATGATAGAGTAGGCCTTAACGTCAAAGGTAATTAGCTTCAAAATGAGATTTTATTGAGGTCTTTATGGAATTAATCAAGTTATACTTCCTCTTTTAGTGTCAATTATCTCATTTATAAAGTTAAGATATAAATATCTGCCTCACAGAGAGTTATGCACATTAAATGATATTTGCCTCTAAGGAACTTAATGTGGTATTTGGTACAAAAATTATAGTAAAAATCTATGTCACTTTGATAGTTGTTTATTCTTGATGTATATTGAGTGTATAAAACTGAGATGTGTAGTTCAACTTAATTTTGAGAACTCTGATAGTGTGGTACATAGGGAATTGCACTGCAAACTCAAAGAAGGTGCTTCTCTAGCAGTTTGAACCCATCAGCTAGGCAATCTCCTTCCATGCTATCTACCACCTTGAAAGCCCAATGGGAGTCAGCTACGAGTCAGTTCAGACTCAATGTCAAGGGGTGAACCTTGACACTGAGACACACACACACACACACACACACACACACACAGACACACTCTTATATGTATATTTTGAATAAACTTAATAGTATTTTAATTGAATGCCAGTAAAACTGTAGTTATTAAAGTGTTATACTTTTCACTGCCATGCACTCAAGCTTTTGAGTTAATATATACAAATTATCTTGGGGTACCAAAAACATAAATCACTGAGATATATGTTCTCTTTCTTAAATGCTAGGCAATTGGACACTTGCATAATTCAATTTTTCATTAAATAAATGTTTTCTTCAATTATATGTTTAGCATCACACAGACATAATTGGAAGAAAATAAAGAAATTAGCATGATAAATTAGTTTTCATCATATTTGTAAGCAAGATAGATTAAAATGGGATAGTTGTAGCTTTACAATTTTAGCAACTCCATAATTTACAAGACTGCTTGAATAGTTATTTACTTTATATTATTAATTAGATGTTAAAAACAAACAAACAAAAATATTCCACTTCCACCAAGTCTGCCTCAACACTTAGCCAGTCTCCCAGGGTTTCTGAATCTGTAAATCTTTAAAGGAAAGACTATCCATGTCGTGTGGCAATTTAGTGTTATGGTCTTTAAGTTCAGGTATGATTTACTCAAGACTATATTTTGACCTTTACAGAATTGTTTCAATTTTTCTTCAGCTTCAACATTAGCAGTTCAGGATCTACTTTTCTTCTGACTGATAATAATGAATCCCAATACAATTGTTTCTTTCTAAAAATATAGAATACTATTCCTGGGAGTGAAATTGGGCAAGATCTATTTATATAGTGAATG